GGCGTGCAGGCGTCTCGTTCTCAGACGACACGGAGGGCGGCAAAGGCGCGAACGAGGAGGGAGCGGGTGAGTCGTCCGTGAGGAAGACACTCGGCTGAAGAAGCGGGCGTGCTCCCCCATGCGACTCGCTGGAGGGCAGTGGATTTGTTCCAACAACCGTTGCAGATTTTGGCGACTCCAGGCAAAGCTATGCGGTTAAATTAACATGGAACTCAACAAGCTAGCATTTGTAGATGCAGAGGACCCCAAACCGTGATCTTGACACCGGATTCCATGTTAATTTGCAGGTTGACTGCGAGCCCAGGACTCAGAAGCCAGAGGATGAGGCCTGATTTGTTAAACCTCAGAGCTGATCCTCCACTTTTGGTGTGAAGGTACTTAGACCAAGAGGTATGGCCAGCTGGCACTTTGCGCCAATAGTACAATAGACGTATAGTTGCGCAAGCCAAACAGCTTCTAATCTAATTGGCCAAGGACACCTTTGGGATATCCAAAGGCACACCTAGAGGACAGCAGCCATTTGGGCCTGTCGGCAAATAGAGACCCCCAAAACTTTTGGAAACATCATCCCACCCAAGGAACACTCATTCAAAGGCCCAAGAGGTTACATGCAAGCCACCCACAATAAGAATATGTCGGATGGAGGGAGTTTTTGTTGAGTCTGACACGGCGCTGCTTCAATCTTCGATCCAGGTTTCCAGGGTACGCTTAGATCTTGGGAGCCGGTTCGGTGCTTTGGTTTCCAAGGAGCCCGCTGTCTTTGTTGCCTTCCCTCCCAGTTGTCTTCCAAGGAGTGCCTACTTCACGGAGTTCCGCACCAAGCTGAAGCGCCAGGCGTCGGTGAGCACGCGCCAAAGCTTTTGGAACCGGGGCGCAGGACAGGTGGCGCGCCTTGGAAGCAGGCGGAGAAGGGGTGGGGGTGGGGGTGGGGGGTGCGGGTGCCATATGTGTTTGTTATTTGCTCTTGTTTCTGCTGTTTTTGTGTCTGTCTCCCTCTCGCACGCTTCCGCAAGCCTGTGTCATAAGAGCCTGACCAGGAATCCAGGGACATCAAGTCGAAGCAAGCTTGAACATAGTTGACTTACGAATGTATTGATTTATATAATTGTCCGGTGCTTTTTACTTTGAGGGTATTGTCAGTACCGACCAGACACTCGAAATGACATCTCTACTTGGGCGAAAGCTGATATAGGGGAATGCCTGACAGTGATCGGAAATGTGAGAGCTGCTACCACCAGCACCTTCATATCTGGCCCAGTGCTGTTTGCAATTGTCGCAATGTGATACATGGAGGCCCTTCGCCTTCGATTGTACGATAGTCATGGCTTACAATGGTTTTGTTACTCTGCATTGGAAGACCAGCTTGGACATTCATGGTCTGGCACAGATGCTTTTGGTGGCATGGTCCTTTCTTTAGTGTTGGACTCCATTTGTGGCGTTGCTTTCTATTCGACTTTGTTGCCCGTCTCTCGGCGGCGGCTTCCCTATCTTTTGGGGCCCCTAGATTCCCCTCGTTTGGTGTGAAGTTCGATGAGTCTGTGGAGCTGAACCTTTCATGTAGATGATGCCCACTACTTCTAGCCAATTCCCTTCCTCCCACATCGCCATGGCCCAGGGATGTCCCCTGCGAGTTTCTGCCAACGGTTCGCCCCCCCTCTCAACGTGGAAGCGGAAGCGGAGCAGCGGAGGAACACTTTTTCGCGCGGTTCCACGGCAGCTCGGAGCTCCATCTTTAGGACGAAAGAGGCACTCGCGGCCGGGGGGCCGATGTTGACCTGCAGTGACAGAGAAGGGAGGTGTTTTCCATCGCGCCCAAAACCCGCCTTGGCCAATCTTGTCGGCTCTACTGCATGTTTTGCAGGGTCTATAGTAAGGCCTTTGTACCCAGGTGGGTTTTGGGCCTGCTCATGTGTTTTCCTCGTTTTTGATTGGCTGAAAGGGACGCCAAAGGAAATCACCTATTTGGGTGTGTCTTAGCAGCGCGCTGAAAAATGGGGCAAGTGGGTGAGTGGGCAAGGGAAGTGGAAACAGCTACAAGGGGTGGCTCCAATCCAACTCCAAACCCACCAAACCATCTCTGAACCCAACTGTAGACCCAACGCAACCTAGAACCCCATCCTGAACCCACCCTGCACCCCACCCTTCTCAATTGATGCCTCGTGTCTTCCCCCCCCCGTCCCCCGCTCGGTGGCGATCTGTTCAGGACGAAGTCCAGCCCCAGGGCCCTCGGGCGTGGCTGGCGCAGAAGGTGTCCTCGCCGGCCTTCGAGGCACGACTCGGTGGGTTTGGAATTGGCAGGGGGGCTTCAGGGTGGATTTAGGGTAGGTGTATTGGCCGTAGAGTTGGGTGTTTCTCATTTTAATAGAGGCTGCCGCGCGGCGAAACAACCAGAAAATGAAGACAGTTCAAGGGGAAGTTAGCCAAACAACCCACGAGAATGAGAGGTTCCTGTACTGGTTCCATTCGGTTTAGGTCTTGGGAACGTTTGCTCATTGGGAACGGAACAAACTGTTAGCGGAATATGAGTTGTGTTTTTGTGGAATGTTCCAACAGCCATTTTTCAATCAATTAACGTCGCTTGTTTGCTTGATCAGACACTTCCACAAATCGCATCATCTGCGTATTTTGCTTGCAAGGATAGTTTGCTTGAATTGCATTATGTGCCCCTGTATTATTATTTGCAGGTGTTTGCGTGAAGCTTTGAAACATGTGGTGTGTGTGTGTGTGTATGTTTGTTTGGCAGAAGGTTTTCTTCGAATTACGTTGGGTCACCTTGATGCAGACACGTGCTCACAGTCAGCCGGAGACCGGGGTGGCGGGACCAGCACCAAATTGCGTATCCGGACTTAAGGGCACTGCCATGGACAACCTCCACAAGCAGATCATGCAACGGCCGTAACCAATGTTTTTGGAGAGCAACCACCTGTGCTGAATAAAGCGTTTGCGCTGCAAGAAGAGCGTGCTGAAATAAGCGTGTGGTCTACACTTCACTTTATCCGGGTGTGTTGCAGCGTTTGTTGTTGGCTTCCATTTAGTCTGTAGTCTTGCAGAGGTTTAATCCCCTTGGCCTCCTGGGCCCCACTAAGTGTAGCTGTCATGTGCCAGGCGCTGTTGACCACAGTCTGGTTGGTCAGACCTTCTAGTACTGCCCAAGTCAGGCCCGCGCAGATACAAGCGACCGGCTTGTTGCTTCTCACAGGGCGCAATCGGCCAAGTTCATGGCCGATGTTGACAGTGTGTTTTGCTTCAGTGGCGTGCCCCTGCTCAACCCAGAGCTTCATCGACGTAAAAGAAAATCGTCAGGCTTCAACATGGCAACCTGGCGCTTTGGACAATAAAAGGAGCTCACGAATTCTTCTTGGCATAAGCGTCCGGTTGACCTTAGGCAACCATCTGTTTCATGTGTTCTTGGCGGAAGGTACGCCCGAGCGCCCAAGAGACACCAAAAAGACCTATAGAGAGCAAGAGCTTCAAGTTGGTCGACGCCCCTAGTATCGCCAGTGCACCCCCCAGCATCACCAGTGCTTCGAGTTGGTCGAACGCAACAGAACTAAAACATATGCATAAACGGGGGAAGACAGAAGCTTCCACACAAGCCAAACTGTTGATTTCCAAACAATTTTGAGCAACGGTTCCCAGCTGTTAAGAACCCTCGAGGCTGAAGCAGCACGCGAGACAGCCAAAGAAACGAGAACGCGATGTTTCAACCCTTCAAAAAGGAGCTGGTGTGTGCGCGTTCTTCACGGTATTTTGGGTGTTTGGCCTGGGAGCCTTTTGCAGAGATGACCAGCTGTTGTCACAGCCGGCACGATATGACAGCCACCATCTCAAAATGCCCAGTTCACCTTTGCCATCATTATCTTCCTGAACACCATGTTCATGGCCGTCCAGGCGCTGCGTCTTGGGGCTTGACTCCACGCATTCACCAGCCAGAGGTGTTTCATTTGGAAGCCGCCTGCCCAGTTGACAGGGGTCCGTTTCTTTCCCTTGGTGGTTGTAAACATCACTCTTTGGCCTATCTGAGGAGCCCGGATCAACCGCAGGGGCAGAGATGGTACCCTTTTCGATTGCCTTCAATCTACAAAGGGGGCTTGTGCACCTCCGTGTTTGTGGAGCTGTAGCGCTTTTTCGAGCGAGGTATCTTGAGTTCTTGACGTCTGCTGGATTGTGAGTCGGAAACGGCATGGGTACAAGTGGGTTCCCACGCGGTTTCAGCGCCAGGTGCAGTACCGGGGCTTGAACGTGGGCTACACCTTAAACTATCCCTCCGTGCAGCTGCCCGCCGAGGACACTCCGCTCCATTTGATTTCAATAGCAAAAGGGTCCTGATGTTTTGCTCACATATTTGCTAATTATTATTATTATCTTTTTTTGGGGGGTGAGAATCAATTAGCCAAAACGGTGCCCTGTTTCTCCTGTGGTTTCTGGAGGTTGGGAAGTTATGGTGACTTGCTGTGACCTCGCCCATGCCATGCTGAACTTCTCTTGGATGGAACCCCCTTATCTTCGTTTGGTGACTGTTGGCTCACCCAGATGTGTTCAGGGTGTGCTTCGAGTTGCGTTACATGCTTGAATAGATGCGTGTTTGGATGGATAAAGCACCTGTCACAATTTCCAAAACACATCGGCTAATCCCATTTCGTTCTTCGGGATTGGTTTTTTCGTGGAGCAAAGGAAATGGGGACTGGACTGGAAGCCCTGTTCCCCTTGAAAGCAGCATGCTTATGGGATTGATAGCTGGTTCTCCGAAAAGTGACTGGGGAGATGGAATGCGGGTTGGGGGCGGGCTTCCCAACAAGGAACGGACGTGTTGTTTGAAACGTTTTGGTTCCTGCTTCTTTGGCCAGTATCTGCCGGACCGGTTTCCTGACGAAGTGGGAAGCTGGGGCATGACTCAAGACTCCAGCACAGGGGCGTCTCTTTTCGATGAATCTGCCGAGAAGCTGTCACTTCGGACAAGGATGGCGACTGCCAAGTGCTCCAAAAAAAGGCACCCAGAC